CGCTCCGTCCCGGCATGGCAGGGATGCGCCGTCAACGACCACGCCACCCACCTCGCTCGAACGGTGTCCAGAAACAGAGCGAACCTGTCCTCCTCTTCCTCTGGCAGCCGCTCCCCCGTAACCCAGGACCTGCTCCCCTCCTCGGGGTCGCTACTGCTCTTGCTGCCGCCTCCTCCGTTGCTAGACGACGCCGGGTTGCTGTTGCTGCTGCTGCTGCTGCTGTCGTTGCCAGGGTTGTGGTTGGACATGATGCCAGACAAGGCCTCCAGCATCGCCCGCCTCTTCTCCTCAAAGGAGTCCCAGTCTCGCCCCGATCGTGCTAAGGACCAAGTCTCGGCCAGGCGCTGTGTGGCAAGGGAGGGGGGGTCTCATGTTTAGCATGCCCTAGCCATGTCACAGGTGGGGGGAGGCGAGACAGACCCCGTAGCAGGCTGAACCACTTCGACGTCTATACAACCTCAGCAGCAGCAGCAGCAGCAGCAGCAGCAGCTTCCAACAGCCGCAGTGGCAATAGCAACAACATCGAGTGCTTCAGCGGGATAAAACATCGCGAACACGCGACCTATTGTGTGCTTCGATCAAGACCATCGAGCGCACACCTGTAGACCATCATCGCAAACCTACGGACCATCTGCGAGCACGGCTTAGCGGGCGTAGAGCACGACAACGCCTTATTCTCCTCTTCTGGTGCCGTGTACGTGCGTGCACCCCAGACTGCTGCGCCAAACAACGTCGCTCACTCGTCACCCGCCCCCCCCTCCGTCCCGGCATTATAGGGATGCGAGTAGGTCAACGGTCTAACGACTACGGCATGCGTTTACATGAGTACCCCCCCCCTCCGTCCCGGCACTAAAGGGATGCGAGTAGGTCAACGGTCTAACGACTACGGCATGCGTTTACATGAGTACCCCTCCCCCCCCCCCCTCCACCTCTAAATTACTCACGGGGCACGCCGACAGCCTTGGCAGAAGCATGTCCTCCTCTCGCCCCATTCCCGTCTCTATCTGCACCGCCCCCGCGTTGATTGCGTTGGTCATGAGGCCGCGAATCATGCCCGTAACACCACGCAAAATCGCCTCGCTGTCCACGCTCCGCACATACAAAATTGAGGGCGACTAGTCGGGGGGGGGGGGGGGGGGGGGGGGGGAAACGGC